GCGGACCGTAGCCTGCTTGCAGGTGTGCACTTGCAGCGTCTTGCAGCTAACGGCTTGCCCGAAACATGCAGCAGAGTTGGACGGTTGATTGCCATTCCATGCACATACGCGAAGATGGCCATCAGACATCGGGGACCAGTCATACAGCCATCCTGGACACACACGCTTAGCATCCATCATGGGCAGAAGCGGCATTTGGCGACATGTGCTGCTCTCGCAACTTGCCCGTGTTGCCAGAAGAAGAAGCAGGCCTGGAAATTAGGCACTGGCAAAACACAAAAGTCATCAAAGTAGCAGAATAGGGATGCTAGCTGAATTGCAGTGACTTGCGTACCGTATTCTCGTTTCCCACGAGTTCAACGGAAGCAATATCAGCCTTAAATGTTGTTTACTTGCAGTAGCACACACAGATATATATATATATAAACATATATGTACACATTTTTAAACGCGCAAGGAGTTCCACGTGTTGTGATCTAGAGCATTTTTGGAGGACTCTAGATGCTGTAGTCGAGGCATCTCCAGCTGCTCAGGACCTCCAAATGCTGTAGCACTCATCATTTTTACTTCGTGGGAAGGCATATGTGCCATCAATTGCAGCCGCAGCATGGACAACTTCTGAACTTGTTTTGCATTGTTTGCAGCACCCACTGCAGTCACCAAGAAGTGAGTTAGAAGCGATAAGACGAAATTGATTGTACATCCGTCAGGCAGAGCACGGTTTGTGCCCTGAAACTGGGGAGAGTGCGCCGCGCAATAGTGTATCCTAGGTCTTGGGCATTGGTCGTCAATCAAGTTTAAGATGTTGGCCCCGACCGCAAAAGATACAGAACGATGCATGTTGACAGATTTGAGGCTTCAATTTGCTCAGATGAATTTCATGGGTATTTCTGTCCACATGCAAAGCCATTGACTTTGCGCATGAAGGTTCAGATGAAGCGCTCCTCCCTTTATGGCAGCGCCCAAACCTGCCACAATCGCGTCAGCAGGCCTGGTGAGCCAGGTCAAGGGCTGAGGCTTTAACTCGTCTTTACAAGGCTGAACAGGCGGTGAACAGTGCCGACGAAGAGAAGTTGGTGGAACTGCAGCGCAGGCCCAGATGCCTGACGTAGGTTATGCTAGTGGAGAACATGCATGGATGTCCTTGAAATTATTTGAGCGTGACGTCGTTTCTTTGAAGGTATCTACCACCCTTGCCGGCAACGTATGCAGAGCCCATCCTTCCGAAGGTCGGCAAGCGGTGTGGCGCGGTGTATTCCGCTTTGCGAAGGATGGAGTGATATGCATTTGACCTCAGGATTGCCGGAGCTCGTGCTTAGCTGCCCGCTCCGCACCGACCCCCTTGCTCTTGGTCGGTGACTCTTGGCAGCCTTGGCGGCCTTGTTGATTCTTAAGACTTCGGGCATTAGCACCGACAAGGACAGTAGCGGCAACGTGGGACTCTATGACGTCAGCCGCAAAGTGTCGGAGGTTGTGCACCCAGTGCTGTTGCATAGGAAGAGAACCCTGCAGGGTTCATAAACCACCGTAGGTGCTCGCGTTTCTGAGGGCCAGCCAGCCGAAGCGGTGTGGTCCATGTCGATGCGGGAAGCCCTTGTAGAGGTCTGTTGGGGACCAGGTGGCGGCTGCTTTGCTGTAGCATCTGGAGGCACGTTCGGAAGAATTTTGAGCTGCAATGCCCTGCGCCGGGTCTTTCAGAGGTGCAGATGGCCGGCTCACAGGGCACCGTGACCGGCAGTGCCGCCACTTTGTTGCAGTATGCTTCTTTGGGGATCCCTTGCCCGAAGCAAGCCCCAGGGCCAGCCATGGTAAAGGCCGAAATGAAAGAGACCTTTGGTGAGCCTGGTCTCGTGCACAGCCTGAGTTATCGGATGAGGACCTTCCGATGGGATGTAGCGGTTTTCCAGGTTCCCCAAATGTAAGCTCACAGACGAAATGCATCCACAGTTACCATGCGTCATGCTTCCAGGGCATAGCGCATCGAAAATGATAAGGGGGCGACCCAGAAATTGTGGGCTAAACGCACCGAAAGCATCCTGAAAATCTAATAGGGGAACGCCCTCTATGTTGCGTCAATAAACTTTGCTTAGTCATTATCTGCCTCACGCATATGAAGCGCAAGGCTGCGCTGACTGGCAGGAGCAGAAAGTGTACAGAACGCAGAGTAGTAGCTGCTTGCTTGGTGTGACCCGCTGCTAAGGCTCAAAGGGCACTGAGAGCTGCTGCATCACTATGTGGAGCATCAGTTCTTCTGGCCCCAGACACTCTGTAGGCCCCTGGCGTTTTCGAGGAGTGTTGTGATAATGAGAGGTCGGCCTTGTGAGTAATGTCTGGTGAACGTATCAGCTGTTACTACAGATCACCGTCGTGTCTATTCAGTGGGACAAGGATGCCGTTCTCTAGTCTTCCCTAGCGTATCAGCCTTAAGTGTTTCGAGCTGCTTCAGAGCAACTAACCGTAACCAAGATTTTGGCAGTCCGCCCTGTCTGTGCCTCAAGAAGAGGGCCCTGGTAAAGCCTGATGATGCTGCAAGGTGAACTGATCCCAGCCATTCGTCGCGATTGGAGCCTTCGATCAATGTGTTTCTGCAACTGCGGCTTCCGAATTGCGGCTGCTGCTTCTGCAGGGCCTTTTTGCACTATGGTTGTTGTTTTCGATGTGCCTTGGAGCATCAAATTATGTAGAACTTCATTCGCGATGGCTCCTAATCAGGTTCATAAGCAAATCCTGATCTGAGGCAGACACGCTGTTTGAAGAGCACCGCCTTGTGCTACCCCGAATGGAGATGCATTGCATTCGACATTTTGTTTGTACAGATGGTCGCTTGACACTACTAGATGGAAGCAGAATCAAGCAGCATGCTGCCCAAAACCTTGCAAGGAGCTACCGAGCAACTCATACTGGCCGCAGATCGACGGGTTCTTCTTTGGGGTCTGGCAGGTGTGGTTGGAGCAGCTAGCGTTTCTTGATGAGCCCTCCTTGCCAGGACAAAAGCAAGATCAGGGTGCCAGCTCTTGGCAGCCAATCGACCTTGAATATTGGGACGAGAGCCCAGGTTCCTCCCTTTGCAAAAGAAAAGGAACACCGCGACCCTCACAGGCATCTCGTTTGATCAAATCTGAGGTCAGGATGTGTCATTTTCGCTGGACAATGAAAGCTTGCAGGCCAGGTGGGGTTCTGCATTCAGTTGCTCGGGCTGCCGCTGCTGCGTAGAATCAGATGAATCAGGTGTTGGCAGTCCAGGAGGGAGGCTTGGCTCATCAGCTTGGCGTCCGCGGTTCTTCAGGCACTTCTGGCAAATAGCTTGCGCTGGCTTCGAGTCTGTCCACTGATTTGAAGAGCAAAGCAGAGATGCCTGGCTTTTGCGCTGTGTGCATCCATTCCCGGCATCGGCATGGTGACAACCTACCGCGAATAATTAACCTATGCGACAGGGTGGTTACTTGCCGGCTGGCGATCTCTAGACCTATGTGCTGGTGGAAAATCCCTGCAGCTGCCCCGGAGTAAGGATGAGGTGGACAAGATGCTGGGCGCCAAACATGTGGCTTACTTCAACAGAACATGTGCTCCTTGTGCCTGTCCCAGCCTGCAGATGTGTGACTGTGTGTGTCGGGGGAAGCCCAAGATCACACGGGCATCTAAAACAAAGAAATGTAGGGGAGTGTGGCACTTACATCATCTTGCACCCTAACCGCACTCAACGAAGCTGTGGATGCAAGTGGGAAGCAAGACCTGGTCAGTCTTGTTTACCTGCATGGCAGCCTCCTGTGGTGCCAAGATTCGAAGATGGACAACCCCTTGCAATAGGTTTACAGGACATGTACTGTCAGTCATGTTCTGCTGCGCATGTCAACAGTTGCATGTTTCTTCAACTTTGGCTTTTTGACAGCCTCCGAGCAAAGATTTTTCTGCCCGACACATACAAAGCGGACCACAGGCCGAGGCTCGGTCCACATGACAGACGCTGCACCAGAGCCGAAATTATGTGAGCAGTAAGTAAAAACAGGCGCTAAAGGAAAGTTAACTAGGCACGGGAAGAACTTCGGGAGTCGGCCGGCAACAACTTCCAGAAAGTGGTTCCCACTGTACGCGCGGAAGCACTTCGCTTGCGGAAGCTGTGGCGGAAGCTTTTTTTTGAACAGCACGGGTTTTGGACGGATAGCACCAAAGACTAGAAATCCCTTTCGCGGAAGCGTCGCGCAAGCAACTTACATAAACATCTGCGGAAGAGCCTGCGGAAGCCAGCAGTCTTCGCTGAGGACTGTGGAAGGTCCGCGGACGCTTGCGGGCGGAAGCTTCATGTTTCATTCAAATTCAAGTACCTATGTTTTTTAATCATTTGTCGGTGTCAGTAGGCATTGGTGGGCACTATTGGCATAAGATGGCATTGGAACCAACCGTTGGTGTGTGTGTGTGTCTATATATAGAGCAGCCAAGGTTGTACTTCGCCTGCAACCTCCATTTGTGGATCTGAGAACATTGGAACTTTGTAACAGCCGCGTTTTATGTGCAGCTGCTTCACCAGATAACACGCTTTTGGCCGTGGGCTGCGAGAGGGGCGACGGGGCAGGCCCAGTGCGATTCATTTGTAGTTAAATCCTCCATCTAGGATTTCGGAGGTTTGCTTTGTCAGTGCTGCCGTGGTCTGCAGGTCAGATCCCCAGCAACCCCATCGAAACGGCGAGCGCTGAAGGCCCGAAACTGCAGATAGCCAGCTTGATGCAGGTATTAAGATGAATTCTCTTGCCAACGCTGAGGCATAACAGGCATCAACAGGCGACGAACACATAGATGGTCAGAGCATTCCAGCACACTTTCAGTGTGGAGCTTGGACACACGGGAGCTGCTGGGGTGGCACTTAGCTGTGCAACTTGTCGAGGCTGCACTTGCTCTATGTGTCGGCAGGCCTTCCTATGCCACTTATGCTGGTCAGGTTGTGGCGTGCAAAAGAGGTGCCCCTCAGCTCCAGCATTCCAGCTTTATGTTGGCTTGATTCCTCAATGCTTGCCGTTGCGCTCACCCAGACGAAGTCAGTAACTTGGACTGAAGTATGTGTTGTTGAGAGTTTGGTGCATGTAGTAGCACGGCACGGCTGCAAGTAGAACAAATGCAAGTGCATCCGAGGTTGGGCTTGTTAATGCAGAGTCCGGTGCCCTCGTCCGCAGGTGCCCCTGTCATCAGTTTGCTGTATCGGCTTGTCAAAGGTCGTGTGTCCCGTGACAGATGGTTTTTCAACAATGAGACCCCACAACTGCTTGCGGCAGCCAGCGGTTGCCGTTGGGTTGCCGTGGGCTTCCGTTCACAGCGGCACCTTGACTGCTTCAAGCTGGATGCATGGAGAGTGGTTTAGCCTGGCATACTTCGCACCAGGACCGGTCGCGGGCCTGCTCGATGTGCTGTTTTTGACCGAGATTCCGGCGGAGGGACTTGGGTTCCTTGTGGCACACGCTCTCGAACTGTCGATGCGCGACCAGTCGTGGCATGCTCAAACTCTGGACAGTACCTCGCTGTCACTCGCTCGGAGGCTGATTTTGCCAAAGCTTGCCGTGGTTTCAGGATCACCCTGCGAGCAGACTAAGGTTGCCGGAGCAGATTTGGGTCCGATGGTGGCGAATGGGCTGGAATCAAGCCCGGCGACAATCCCGACAGTAGACACCACTCTGTCAGTCTCTTGGTAGCAGTGGAAGAGAGAAGCCGGACAAGATATTTTGTTTCCTTGAACTGTCGTCACGCTCATAAAGCGCTCAGACGTTGAAGGCATTGGGGGCTGCTGAGGGGACGAGGACGATTTGCAGAGGGGGAGGGAGGGAGGGAGGCATACTTGACAATGATGAGAGTCCTGTTTCAGTCAAGAGATCTAATTGTGCGACTGAGTGTTTTGCTGGTGCCATGGCATCAGGTGTAGTCCTCACCCCCAACCCATTTTGGCTCAAGTCTCCCCTACTCGCTTCGGGGGCTATTTACTCGGGCGGCCCCCGTTCCGGGTGGAGCTTGGCTCTGCTCGGGGGAGGGGCGGGCGGACGTCCCGTTGCGAGGGAGCCAGCCAAAGCCCTGCCAGGGGGTAGTACTAAATGTTTACCTTCCCCCCTAAAACCACAGTTACCGAAGCCAGCACACTCACCGCGGAATGGCAGCCAATGAAGAGCAATCAGAGTGTGCTGCTGGGGGACTTTAACGAAACCTTTCACCTCAATGGGGAGGGAACTCACCCATAGAACCACAAGGGGAGCGATCTTGCGTCAGTGGTTGCAAGAGCAAGGACTAGAAGCCCCGGAACCAGCTATCAGCGAGTCAACCTCATCCCCCCTACATGCAGCAGCTGATGCAGCTGAGGAACATGTTGCACATGAAGGGGAGACAGCGGAAACATGGCTACAATGGCACCAGAGGTCCATGCGCAGAACCAGACTCCTTCTAGCCAAGTACCCAGGGCACAGGTGGTCCACGATCATGCTGACCCAAGTATGGCGACGGTGGGGTTATCATGAGGAAAGCCATGGCAGGATAACGGACTGGTGGAGGGCACAACAACGAGACGAGACAAGCACGGCTTTCGCCGCCCGGCCCGATGTAACGCACTACTCGAGACTGAGAAATTAATCGGGAAAATAGCCATGGAAGGATGCAGCCCGAGACAGGGAAAGGTGGACCCAGCTTGAAGGAGCTGTTGTCAAGAAGCTCGACGTGCCGTGGAGCAGCGGCGGGCAAACAGCTATCGACAATTTGGCCCAATGACATCAGCACGGGGATGAAGGTGAACTAGACCTAGGGAACCTGACGATGCATACAGGCCCCAAGAAAAGCAAGCTGAAGCCAAAGCCAACTTCGCACCACGCCACCAACCACAACATTACCACCTACATGCGATCCCGGCCCCAGAAACATGGCTAACTACCACCATGCCATGGATGTGATGATGATGATGCTGATGAGGGAAGTGAGAAGAAGAACGACAGACCATGCAGTTCGAGCATCCACATCTACTCGGGAGAGACCACGCGTCTCGAGCAGTCAAGTCTACTTGGTACTGAAACCTGGAGCAAACCGGCGTGCCTGATGTGAGTCATTGATATGTGCTGACTGATGCAGCAGCATTCTCGGCGGAGAGAAGCATAGAAACAATGTCCGAGACATGCTATGATGGAGCAGAACACATTGCAGCCATGCCCTCATTCAAGAGAAGAGGAACGAGATCCTGACGGAGGTCTTTACCGGACAAGCGATTTTCTAGGATACAGAGGACCAAAGACAAAGCGCTCAGATGACCACTAGCAGTGATTGACTCATCCCGACTGTCGGCTACCTCGGCCAGTGGCTGTAATGCTGACCGCTGGATGCGTGGCAAGTGGATGTATGCCGCAGTCATGATGGGGACGATAGCAGTCGGGGCTGTGATGCAGCGCAATGAGTATGGGTCCAGACCTGACGTGAGGCTAATCATCAAACCAAAGCGTGTGGTGAAGGCAAGTGATCCAGCGCGAATGCCGCGCTGATACATGGGGCGCCATGGAGAAGGCCAGGCAGAGCAGCTGCGAGGTCCTCGACAGCCGAGGGGCCAGGAGAAGGACAGAGATCACTTCCAAAGACATCGCAGCATACAAAAGGACCCCGAGCAAGGACTGTGCTCCAGCACGAATGGATGTAGCCTCGTCCCAGCTCCTGTGGCGGAGGGTTTTGAGCATCATAGACCAGGGCCAGGCTGACCAACTCTGCGCTGGAATGAGGGGAGGCCCCTCAGCGAGGCCGACCTTTGCCCTCTTGCCGTAGCTTGAAACACGCGTCCTGCAACGGCTCGAAGCCTCCATCAGCGAAGTCTTCCAGATGCAGCTTGAACTTCTGGGTGGAGGTGGTGGCAGTGACCTAGAAGGAGGTGCGCAAGAAGATGGAGAAGAAGAAGAAGTGAAGGTTGAGGACGGTGAGAGCGCGATGATGCAACAAGGTATGGTGAGTGCGGGGAGAGCCCGGGAGCTGCTTTATCAACAATTCCATGAAGTTATAGACCTTGACCGCAGGGACTGCGTATCGCAACAGCATCCAACAGTAGCAGTGACGACGTTAGCCACGTGGATGTTGGATATTGTCCGCGTACGCTGGTGGGCCGGTTCAAAAGCCTGAAGAAAGAACGAAGGCCGTAAGCTGCAGAGGCGCTGATGCGGTTGCCAGGAGGAACACCGCATCGACGCCCGTGAGCAGCGCAAGGGATCGCGCAAGAACTACAAGCGGTCGCCGTGGACAGATGCCAGTGATATCAGGCTTGTTGAGGCAATTTTCAGGGAAGTAGCCAAGTCCACGAGGCAAAACAGATACGGCAAGGCAGTGGAGGCTTTGAAGACAACGCTGTTGAAGCAGCGTGGGGAGGCTACGGAAAGAGAGGTGGAAAAACAAAGACGGCTGCCAGAAATGCTGCGAGTGGAGCCGCCTGGACAATCCACAGGTGCCTGTGCGGACGCGGCAGTAATAGTGCGAACTATTGCAATGAGTGTAGAAAACCCAGGAACCTATCAAGCAAGACTCCAGCTGCTTCGGTTGGAACGAGAGTGGAGCAGCATTGATTCGGCGCAGAAAAAACAGGCTTACGTGACCACGAAAGGTGAGGAAGCACTGTGGGAGATCTTGGGTTTGGGAATTGCGCTGAGATCGTCCCGCCCGAGGAGCGCAATGAAGAAGATGATGTGGTCAGCGCGCAAGAAGTGGAGTTGTTTTCAGATGAGGAACAAGAGGGCCGGGGGAGACCGACGACAACGAAGGAGTCGGAGGCCCTGAGGAAAGCGAAGAGAGAACAAAAAGACCCCAGATCAGCAACAAGCAAAGGAAACGACTCACGGACTTCCAGAACAGGAAATGGTCCTGTGGGCGCGAGCAGGCATGAAGACGGACCATTAGAAACTTGAGCAGGCAGACCAACTGCCTACGCAGCCAATCAGCCGGCCAACGTGATGGACGGCGCCAAGGATGTATACGACAAAAGCAGGAAGAGCCTGCGAGAAAGCCACGGACATGGAAAATGAACCCAAGCTGTGGAGTGAAGCAGAACGAAGAGAACGCTGACAGTGTCAGACAGAGGAAGAGATGCAACTGAGCACGGAATGGGAAGTCATTGAAGAAGAGGAGCTGCGCGAGGTTGAGGCGCACGTGGAAGGCCGTGATCTCCTCCAGTACCAGGAAGAGTGGGACAGTCGCACGCAGCAAGTCATGAGCACACAGCGCGATGAGGGTGGCGCCACAGACCCGGAGGGGCAGTGAGCTCCAGCGACAAGAAGTACTGAAGGTTGAATCCCGGGCTAGACCCATGCAGAGCAGGGCCATTTAGGTGTTCACTGGGAGGTGTAGTTTCGTTTCCACTTTGTTGTCGATTCTGGCAAGTGTTATTCGGCCCGGAACGCTTCGCAGCGCTTTGTTGCCAGGAGCGCGGTTCATACTGTGGAGCTGCTGGCTTCATCTTCCAAGGTACACGGTGCATGGTCTGTGTTTGCTACTGCCTGTTTGCTGTGATGAGCAGTTGACTTCCATCTATCAGTGCGCAAAGTGTAGCTTGAGCATACCGGAGTTGTCAACGCATTTCTTGAGAAGGGTCGACTAGGCCATTCGGGGCAGCTTGAGCAGTGTCTGAGATTGGCTTGACTTGACCTGTAGGGGAGTTTCCCGGGGAGTTTGCCACTTAATTTCTCCATAGTAAGGGGGGCAGCCATGGCCGAGCGCGAAGTCCAGCCGCTACGAGACGAAGAGTCTCTGCAGTGCGAGGCTTGTGTGCTGAGCAACGTGCGCAACGATGAGCGTGGGGCAGGGAGTGTGACAGAGTTGGGAATCTGAAGGGCACATGCCTGTCAATTTGATGCATGCGAAACAAGAAGCGGAGGTACGGCTGACAATTCTGTGCAAGCTACAGTGACCGGAGTGTACAATTGCAAAACAAGAAAAGGCGAGAGCCTCTTTTGGCTATGTCAATAACGACTGAGCCGGAAGGAAATGCAGTACAAGCCGAGACAATGCACGCGTTTTCAACGAAGTCAGGAGCCTGAGACATACATATTACCAAATTTGGTGCATGATGCCGATACCATTCAGATACAACCAATTCAGTGCAGTGCAAGTAAGGACCCCGTTGCAGCGGGAAAGCGTGGGAAAGCAGGCGATGAACTACCGACTGCGGCTAACTGACTTGGGGAAGCCGACCTGCTAACCCCAAGAAGGAAATCAAATGCAGGCTTGTGAGGGAGCCTGCGTACTGGGAGGACCCTGAGGAAGCTGGGCGAAGAGCTGGTACCGAAAGGGAACAAATCAGTGAAAGCTGGACAGCAAACTGATACCTGGAGAATCACGGAGAGGACAATGAATGACAGGGAGTGAGCCACATGTACAGAAGGACTTTACCCAGGTCAGTGATATCACGTGATAGAGTGGATTTCCGCACGGAATGTAAGTGATGGCGCGTTCTGGCTGTGCTATGGTTTTGTTGTATGTGGGGGCCAACGACTGGTACAGGTAGCTGCAGCGATTTGTGCAACGAGTCTAGGGACCGAACCCGTTTTGGCTGCCTGTGTAGGATAGGGTTGGGAAAGCGAGAGACGCCCAACAGCAGCTAGGGATTGCTCCAAGTTTTGCAAATAACCCGGATGGAAGACAGATGTGGGAGAAGGGGTAGAAGAAGATGGGGCTTGGGGAACGATCATGTCCGTCCTGCTGTGTTTGCAGTGAGAAGGAGAAGAAGAAGTGCGCATCTTTTCACCCCAGAGCCCTTGCTGTCCGATAGTGCGTGGTCGGTATTTGCGAGGGCCTGGGTACTGACGATTTAGGATTCCCCTTGCTCAACAGCCCAATGTGACAGGAAAGCATGACTGCGGAACCACATCCTGGTGCAAGTATGCACCGCGTACGCCGTATATGCGCCGGAAGCAAGTGAAGAGCTTGTTGTGTAGCCTGGCTGCAGAGCCCATGTCCGACACAGCCAAGGCCGCCACAGGGATTCCTTTAAAGCACTATGCCCGAAGGCTTGGGCCCTGCGTGGCTTTACTTGTAGTGTGGCGCCACATGAACGGCATTACCACACACAGAACAGGGTCCCGCAATGTCTCGGCAACCTGGCGGGAACTTCCCTCGCTTTCGCCAGTTGGTCTCTGGTAATTTGACCGCGGGGCCGCCGTATTGGCTACTCTGGTGTGAAGCAGCTTCCCATCCGACTGACATGGCCCATGGCTTCTGCATCGACTTCCCATCCCCAGCAGTTCCAAGATTGAAAGCATCAATCACAGTTGGATTTTTTTAATCGAATCGTAAGATTGATTGTTTCAAGCGCAGTTTTTGGCAAAATCATTGGCAGATTTTCTTTTCTTCGTCGCAGAATTATCTTTTTTCAATCGCCGAAACTCCTGTCATCAATCGCAAAATTTCTTTGGTTTCAATCGCACATGTTCCACCATTTTTGGCATGGAAGCAGAGAAACCTTGAAAACCTGTGGTCAGCTTGACTGTTGTTGGGTTTGGTTGAAAATGTGTGGCAATTTAAACCATAGACCCAACACAGAATTGCAAAATATATTTGAACAACCACTGCTGGTGTATGTCTGGCTGCAGAGCCACGGATTTCACATGTGGCTGAATAGCCAATGCTAGCATATGTGTCTGGCTGCAGAGTCATAGATTCGCATGTGGCTGAAAAGTCAATACCAGTGCAAGTCTGTTTGTGGCTCAACAGCCTGTGGCCGAGCATGCTTCTGAAGACTTCCGCATACTCCAAGGCACAATTGCTGTTCCTGTGTCAAGTACCACTATAGTCCGAACACATGGCTCTTCAGCATGTGAAGCACCAAAATGTGTGACCCTTCAGATTTTCTACATCCATCCAGTTACAAACATGACAAGCCGAAGCATGTTGGGTTCTTCAGCCATAGCTTTTCATCCAAGCATGTCAAATACATGTTTTAAAGGATGGCCTTTCAGCCATCTAAAACCTGTATTTTTCATTTACATACATGACAAATCTAGGAAGCAACCATGCATGAGTTGTCGCACAAGGTGCTGAGTGGGCGTGTCGGGTTCGGGTTGGGGTCGAGCTCGGGCGTAGTCGAGCCTACTCGGGCGCAGTTACTTGCACATACCCGGACATGCTCGGGCGTACTCGGTCAGACCTGGGCGTACCCGGGCGTACTCGGCCGTACAAGGCCGTACAAGGGCGTACAAGGGTGTACTCGGGCGTACTCGCGCGTGCTCGGGCCTTCTGGGGCCTGTTCGGGCGTGCCAGGATGTACTTTGGGCGTGCCCGGGCGTACCCCACAATAGTAGAATTTTCGCACAGCCGCGTGTCTCCGCGGCCGGCGGCCTCCGGTGTTTGCGATGGTTATGTTGAGGAGTATGCGCTGCAACCCCAAAGGTTTCCGCAATATCCAGAAATCCAGGTTTAGCCGTTTTAAAGGCTTAGGTTTTTTCAAGGGTTTTGGGGTTCAGGGTTTTTATGGGTTAGGGTTTTCAGGGTAAAAGGGTGTTAAGGGTTTATGGTGTTTCGGGTTTTTAGGTTCTATGTTTTTTGGGGAAAGGTGTGTTTCGGACTTAAGATTCTAGGACTTAGGGTTTTAGGTTTAGAGTTTCTAGGTTTTTTAGGGATTAGGGTGGTTAAGGGCTTTAGGTTTTCAGGGTTTAGGGTTTTTAAGGGAACGTAGGGTATTTTAGGGATACCGTTCTTTGGTAGGGTTTAGGGTGTCGCAAGGGTTTATAGCAGGGTGAGGGCGTTTTCGGGTTTAGGGTGTTTAGGGTTTTTAGGGTTTACGGCTTTTTGGGGTTTTAGGGTATCTAGGGTTTAGGGCTTTTAGGGTCTATGGTGTTTAGGGGCTTTAGGTTTTCAGGGTTTAGGGGTTTTAGGGTATCTAGGGTTTAGGGCTGTTAGGGTTGGGGTGTTTAGGGATTTGGGGTTTATGCAAGCAGTCATGCGGACACTGCAATCAGTCACCTGAGGGCACCGACTATCCTTGAATTGCTCGACAGCTACAGAACGAGGAACGAACTACGGCCCCCGGGGCCTGCGCCGGCAACTTTTGACAGAACTGTTCCAACTCTCCTGCAAGGGTTCCTGCTTCAACCAGCATGTTATAGGATAACAGACAGGATCAAAGCGTTTACGAGAAGAGCTAACATAAGAGCCGCCCATAAACTCCTGAAGAGTATTTGCCGCTACGGGTATGCACTTCGTTCGGACTGCTGATGCAGCTTTCACAGGTCGATGATGCTCTGCATGCAACAGAGCTAGGCACGTCGTGATTGCAAGTGGTGCTTGGATTTGCTTCAAGACTGTTTCCCGTGCCCGCGGCCCACTTGCCCTACTTGACCCACTTGCCCCACTCCAAAACCGAACCCCTGCCCCACTTGCCCACTCTCCTAGGGCAAGTGGGTCAAGGTGGGCAAGTGGGGCAAGTGGGTCGAGTGGGGCAAGTGGGGCAAGTAGCCGCGGACCCTTAATCCAACGCCAACACTCTCAATAATTCGATGGGGCTCCCTTTAAAATGGTTTTAAACTCCTTAAATTCTGATTGAAATCAATAATTGACATGTATAATTGCAACCAAGTGACACCTAATTGAAATCAAATGAAGGTTCAATGAAAACCTGATTTGGAACTTCCCCTCTCCTCGCCTCTGGTCCTTTGGCCCGTGGTCTTTGGTCCTCTTGTCCCTCGGTTCTCGGGTCCGGGGCTTTTTCTGGTCTTGTGGTCAAGGTTACGTGATTGCTTGTACTCGTGAATACGCCTCAAGAATTGCCACATGTGTCAATGCTGCCCCCCACCCCCTTCTAACAACAGCCTAGAGGTAATGGGTGCATTGGGGCGTGGTTTGATTTGAGGTTGGCATGCTCCAACTTCGACACCTCCACCTGGATCGTGCGCTGCACTGCATCGGCCACCCTGTGCCGTTGTGTTCGTCAGGCGTAGCCTAGCCATCTTTTCGGATGCTGAGCCCACTGGGATGTGGTGAGGTACTGGGTGCATTGGGCGTGGTGTGTTTGAGCTTGGCATCCTTCAGCTTGGAACGTCAACCCGAATAGTTTCTCGCTCTGCTTCGGCCATACAAGTGGCAACAACCAGAAACACAAAAAGAAACAAACCAATGACCCGAACAAATTCTGAGCCATGGCTCATCCCTGAACCAGTTAATGCGATTACCATTGCAGAGGTTCCTTTGAAATAGCTCCCCAGCGTCACCGAACGTACTGCGACACTCATGTCCTCCAGACCCGCAGCCCATGCACAAGCTTGCATGGTGGAATTAACATAATAAGGGTTGCAATCACTCAGCACCATCGCCTATTGGATTCTTGAAGTAATTTCATGACCTTCTTTGCTTGTTGCGTTTGTTCTAGGGATCCCGGCGAAATCGTATGCCCATGAGCTGAAAGACTGCGTTGTTCTGCAAAAGTGCCGGTCGCAATGGCCTTGCATGCTTGCATGCGATTCGGCCTCGACACCGGCATAATTGTTGTGTTGGCAAACCAGGTAGGTTTTGGATCCAGGAGCTGGGGGCGCATGATCGCGCAGGGGCTTGCTCTTCATTCCCAAGCGGAAAAAAAGCGTAAGTGAGACACAAGTCGCACTCCAAACCACCTGGGGAGTCCCACCCTGACCCGCCCCGCTGGGCTTGAAGAAGAAGAAGAAGGAGAAGAAAAGTATGTCGTAGTGATTTGTCATGTAAGTGTGAGCCTGAAGCGTCTGCGCTGTGTGGCGCAGGTCTCGCTCGAGGCCACATTGGGTGCAGTTTGCTCAAAGCACTTGTCTTTCCGGAATTGCTCAACACTCCTTGCAGGGGGCTTTCCATTTGGCAAATCGGAGATATGACGCGACAGAAGGCCTTCAGAGGTTTTTGGCAACGCTGAGCATGGTGTTGTTTTCGGCGGACTCGGCAGGTTGGCGGAGTGGCAAGACAATGGGTCGCAGAGAGCGTTGCTTTGGATGGTGATCTTCTGGTGGCGTGTTTCCATGGAGGAGGCATCATGAAGGCCGGTCATGTGGGGTGAAGGGCAGTGCTGTTAGGAGGTCAGCGTGTGCTGTTTGAGGCGTACAGGCTACCCGATGAGGAGCTGTGCACTGAAGAGCATGCCCACAACCTGCAAGCAGTGGCAGCTAAAGGCGATGACCCAACAAACGGGGTTGTAGCAGCCGCAGGTCCGGGTGTGCACTCACAGAAAACTGTTGTTGGCTTGGCATGCTGGATTAGCCGGCACGGCGTTCAGAAAGCAAATCTCACATTCGCAATGCCTGGGGCGGTGGTAGCTGCACTGGCTTTCTTGCCTGGGCGTGCGTTCCTTGCTGGCGGAGTGAACCTGCGTGCAATGGTTGTGGCATGCATCTGGAACTTGAGTGATGCAGGCACAGCCCGAGAGATTTGCGAAGTGCGCTTAGACATGCGACCTGGGCTGCGTTGCCTGGCCATTGGACACGATGGGAGTCAGCGGCATCGTGAGGTTCAAAAAGAAGAGGTGCGGCGATCCTCTCCTGCAGCAGTCAAAGAGCCAAGAACCAGAAGGCCTTCTCAGGGAGGCCTTTTTCCACCGTTGGAGTCTTTACCAGCTGCAGTGCTGGCAAGCAGTGGATCAGATTCGCGAATCGTTGTGCACGAAGTCCGCTGTGGCTTTCGTACCTTCTTTGACATCAGCGAACCTACAGATACAGACTTAATGCCACGGAGGCAGCTCTCACAATTGGCTCCAACTGTGCTGCGCTTTGCAGATTCTGGACGTTTGTTGGCTGCTGGGGACAACGCAGGTCGAGTTCACCTCTTCGTTCTGGGGCGACACAGGGCAGAAAATGACATGGTGCAGATGCGCGTGCAAGCCCATCGAGTTCTTTCCTTGAATGGGCATGTTTGCGATATCATCTTGAAAGGTGAGCAGTTATACAAGGCTGTTTGCTTGCAGAGCATGCTGGACTCGCATCCCAAACACCAAGAGCCTTTGCATGGAGATCGGGCGGTGCTAGTGTATGATCTCCTCAATCCGTCGCTTGAGTTCATGCTGCCTGACTTGAAGATGAAAGCAGAAGACGTGTCTTGGAAGATTTGGCTTGTAGTTCCACAACATGTGTTTGGCACGTCTCAGAAATGGCTTGTCTCGGACTGTGACCAGAGGCCAGCTCTGCATTTGGTGCCCAGCTGGAGATGTTGCCCAGTTTGTTGCACCAACAGTTACCTGGTTCAGGCGCATGTGATAACATGAGATCAGCAGCGCCTGTTGATCAGTAAGATGACGTTTGTCAGGCTGGACGCTGCTGCACTGCTGCGCTTGCCGTGGCCAGGCGCAACATGCACGGCTGCTCGTCCGGCTCTCGGCCTCGCCTTTCCAGCGGGACGCTTTGGGTCGGAATGCGGCCGGGCTGCAAGTGGTGATGCGGACCCTGACGCCCAGCAGCTCAATCAATCTTGTAGACGTGCGCTCAGGCACTGGATGTTGCTCTGCAACACCATGAATTTGGGGTCGTGGAGGACTGACTCCTCCAAAGCAATCGCCCAGATGATTGTGAGGCTTTGCTCCTACATACAGGATCTCATGATGGTTTTGATGGAGCAGAAGCATAGCGCAGATTATGGCCATGCTTGGGATCAATTTGGCGAGAACGTGGAAATCCTTGGCCGAGAGCTCTTTCTGCAAAGCAGGGGGAGCTGTCATGCCACAGCTTGCAGCTAGTGCTGGTTTCAACAATTGGTGCCAAGGCACTTCTTGCATCCAGCTTGCCAGCAGAGCATCAGGCAGGATGCCTATAGGCAAGTGCGAACTGGTCCGACATCGCCTGGAAGGCTTTGACGCAAACGGTGGTCCGTCTGTTGCGTCACAGAATGGCAACCCTCCCGGACTTTCTCGACACGGTGTGCTGCGGCATGTGTGGAGCACAGCTCCAAACTTGAGGAAGCCTTTCCGCAAATGTGCTTTGGTTTCTCTCCTTGCCAAGGCCGCGGCACTTTGAGGTCACAAGGGCCGGAGAGAAGCTGGAAGTTCTGCCATCGCGGGCCGCCTTGAAGGCGCTTGCTGCTGCGTGCATGCATGCATGCTTTTCATAGAGCCGCTTGCAGGAATGCGACTTCGTGATTCGCGCCTACAGTGCGCCAGTTTACCGTCCAGAAGCTCCTGAATTTCAAGGCCTGGTTGCCTGGAAGACATATTTGGCCAGAGTTGCCGGCCCCAATCGCAGGCTTGGTGCCAACCTCTGAGGACGGGGGACTGCCTTCAGCCAGAGAGGCCAAGATTGCAGCTTCCCACAGGATGTCCACACGCCTGAGCGGCCAGTGGAGATCCGAGTATGGTATCTACGAGGCGCGCTTGATGAGGACGTCGGCCTTATACCAGCGCTGAAGGAGCGAATGGTGGCTGAAATCTGGTTTGAAACAGCCCAGTAGCACGCGCAGGAGTCGGAGCAGGAAGAAATCATGCGGACCAAGTTTGTTCATGTCCTTCTTGAAGAGCAGTGGGCAAAAGTGGGCCGCAGGCCTATGCTGACAGGTGCAAGCAGCGTTTGAATGCAAATATCTAGTGCCGCCTCCCTACAGGCAGTTCCGTCTTGAGCTGGTAGTGTACTTGACGTATCTCGTTGGCTTCGCGGGATGGTGCATCACTGGGCGTGCAAGCTGTGCGGAGCCTGGCCCACCGGACGAAGCCCAAGACTTCAACAACTTGATTGGCCACCCGGCAAAAACCAAAGAACCCTGTCCTTGGTGCAGATCGAATCCGCCAAGGCTTTGCCTTCCAGATGTTCCGCGCCTCTCGGACAGTTGGACAGTTGAGCATGCTAGCTGGAGTTCCAGGTGTTGTGCTGCAGGACTTTGCCTCCACCCTGAGGTTGCGCTGGTGATCTTCCAGCTCTTCTTTCTTTTTGAGGACGACGAGCGGTTAAGCTTGAGGCGAAGGCATAAAAAGACCCACGGAACGTGACAAGAAAGCGAATGTAGATGTGGCAGAAAGCCTTTCCCTGCATGCCTGGTGAAAAGGAGTGGAAGCAGCTCAACTATGAGGTTCGCAGGGCAGACGCAGGCCTTAATGATTGAACTCCTCCAGCCCACTGGGTGTCATGTGGTACCACTTATGTGTGTACTTGGGCAAGCTGGCGTGCCAGCTGAGCTGGTGCTGAGGAAGCCAAAACCATGGTCGACAAGATGCGGGCAGTGCTAGGTTACTTCACGACCTGGAACAACTTGGATATTGTCCGGATTGCCCCTAGACCTTTTGTTGACAGTTTTCGTAACATGCAATGTTTGTAGACAAGCTCCGAAGCTGAGACAGGCACAACTGAAAATTCACTCTGTGAGTGCCTGCAACTTGAGGCTTTGATCAGCACAGCTGTGGTTTGGAGCGTTTTGGACCGTGAAGGCACCTGCTTGCAAGTGCTTATGCTTCTGACAGCATGAGGCCGTCCATTTCCCAGCCCTGGCAGGGTAGCAGTGTAAACGGGATTCCGAAGGCAACAGCAGTGTTTCAATCAAGACAGTAACAGTTTGGCCATGAGCGTGCTTGATCTTGATTGTAGTGTACTTGCAGAGCGTAGGTCAATGCATCGATGTGTTCGCAGTCATAGAGGACAAGCGAGTCCGGAGATGAAACGCCAGCTCTTTCCAGCTCCATCTTGAGATTGTGCCAGGCTCACCCCCGTTCATGGTCCCAATCAAAGGGCTCAGCGTCTCAGTCGCTTTCAGATCCTCCTTGAAGCGTGCGAGAGGCACTGCTTTTGGGCGCTCGCCTCAACTGTCAACGGTATGTCGCGGAGAAGTGTTGGCAGCACAGACGCGCGTGGCGGCTGTTTCGAGCTGAGAAGCGCGGCCCACAAGATCTGAGCAACACCTTGTGGAGATGCCATCGCTTGATGGAGCATTTGTCCATGAAAGCTCTGACAGGGTTGTACCACATTCAGAACCCAGAAAATGGCCAACACTGGCTATACATTGGAAAAGCGTCCGCAAACAGCCTCAGCTTTTTTCGCGCCACCAGCTGGTTGGGCCTTCGGCAGCTGCATACTCGGCCCATTCACGCACTCGTAATTGCAGGGTGGACGCACACGAGCTGTTGCATGTCGCCACTTTCATCATCTTCCTTCGTTCCAGCGAACTTTGAAGCTGTGCTTGACACGCTTGCCCAGTCCATGGCGGAGGACAACTGCTCGGGCATGAAAGCAGGCAAGCACCCAAGAAAGGCACGAGTCAGTTCTAGATGCCAACGGCCGCGGAGAAATCATCAGGTTGAATGTACGCAGCGGCACTCACAGCTTAGGCTTGCAGCGCAGCGCATGTTCACAAGCTCGTGGCACAGGCACTCAACCAAAACCTCCTGCGGCTGCCACGGATTTGGGAATCACGGACCCCGAAGGCCCCAAATCCAAAGCAAAGCCTGATGTCAAGACATTGCGCTCACTTTCTGAACGCCCGGCGACTTGGGAGCACTGGCAATTGCGCCATCCAATCTTTCATAGCTCACGGTCCAGCAAGATCGACCAGTACTGGCCGCGCTGGGTGAGCATGTTATTTGGATCATGTTAAACGGTGTCCGGACCACAGGAACCTGCCAACACAGGTCTGGATCTTGTGTAGCTTACCGCGCTGCTTTTCAACAACGATTACCGCTGCATACCGCTGCCAAGAATGCAAAAGCCTAACCCTGAAGTCTGGAGCACTGGGTGGGCAATAGCAACGCTGGCAACGCCAGCTCACCCCAACCGCCTTTGCCGATCTGATCTTGCCTCTGGGGGAAGGTGTCAAATCAAGGGCAGCCCATTGCTACGTCTCCGATTTCTTCTTGTGTATCACACAGCAGGGCTGCAGGCAATGTGAAGCCCACGATGCGAAACCTACTTGACTTGCGAGCTACATGGAATTTTCAAGATTTGCTGGTGGCTTGCCTCAGGTGTCTTCCTTGGGGATGGGAAGAACCTCCTTGCCGTGACTACCGTCTTCGTATGCTCAAGGTGTCGGTGTTGATGCAGTAGGTGCATTCTTCACCGTAACCTTGCGAGGCTCATCAGCTTTCTTCGCGCGTTTCCCAACACTGGCCACCTTGTGAGGACTCTGTGCAACTGGTGTTTTCGGTCAGGTTTGGCAGGCATAAAGTGGATGCTTCCTAAAACGTTTGGGTATGCAGCAAGGTGCGCGCGGACATTTCTTCCATATCCCGATCCATAGGTTACGGATCAGCGAGCGGCTTCTCGTTCCACACCCCCACATTCCAGAGCCTCATAAACAGCGACATATGGAGTAACGCCCTTGTTGCATAAGGTATGGATCAACAAGTGTTGATTGGCTAAGCCAAGGGGTTTTTGGGAAAGCCATGGGAGCATGCGACTGCTCGTTCACGCTACAACCCTGCAAGTGGACTGAGCTGGCCAGCCTTCCGGGCAGCAACTCAGTTTTCCAAGCAGCGTCTGGGGTCGCAAGAATCAACCAGACACTGAATGGAGGACTTTGATCACGATCTTTTGGGACTTGGGCGTGTTCTTGCGGCTCATGGTCTTGATGCTGCTGACATTTGTCTTCGCCTTCCTCTTGCCTGTGGGACAGCAATTAGAGCAGTGAGTGGTGAAGCGCTTCTCTGAATCGGAGATGAAGGATTAAAGCGTTTTTGCGGTGGCCCTGCAAGGCTTTATGACCAGCCCTTCTCATTGGAGGGCATTGGTGGAACGATGTGGTATGTTTACGTCCATGGCGTCTTTGGCGATGCTGATGATGCACCGCCTGGTGGTGCTACTCAGCAGCATGATAGCAGAATGTGTCAGTGCTTGCAGGTTCAAGTCGTGATGGTGGCGTTTTTAGCTGCAAGGATGATTCGTCCTGGGTAGCACGTCTCCTGTTGATGAGCTGCGTTGTGGTAATGCTGGTTGCGACTTTGCTGCACAAAGCCAGCTGGCAACATGGAGGCCTAATCCACTGCCACGCCTACCTAAGGTGATGATGAACTTTCTGATTGCCGCTGGTTTGACATCCATGAAACCCGCTGGGTCAGCCGGTGTGTTTATCAAAATGATCAATCAAGGATCGACCAAGGATCAACAAGAAATCAATCCAATAAACGCAGAAGTCTTGCGAGGTCTGGTAGTAGCAATTGATTGACGGTACTTTCAGTGGGCTAATGGGAATGCTGAAGCTCAAAGGGTTGCAAATGCTCCTCCCAGGCTTTCAAAAAGTCGCGTCGCTTCATCAGCGATCCGGCAAAACTTTTCGTGAATCCTTAATTTCTCAAAGAGCCCTCAACGTTTGCAAGCCCGGTCGCCCCGCCCCTCAACCCTCGCAATTTTAAAGGAGTGGCATCGCTTCGAACATGACCACAGCGCATGCTGCAATTCACTTTAGCTGCCCCTGACTTTTAACTCTTGTTTGGCTCTTTTTGCGCAAGAGGTTTTTTGGCTCCAGATTCTTGACGCAGATTTGCAGTCTGCACTCACATTCCTTGAAGGCAATCATGGGTGACAGCTACGACAAGGCCGCCCTGCCATTCATTCTTCCAGTTCTTGTCCCGTTTGACTTTGATACAGCTGGGTGCTTTGAGCAGGTGCAGGAACGCGCTGAGGAAGCACGCAATTTCATGAGACTAGAGCTGGTTTATGAGGTGCATCAGGGATACGAAGAGCATGCTAATTAATGCAAACTAACAAGACTGCATCTGAAGGCAGAAGTTGCGAATGTCATTCCCAAGAGACGTCAGCAGAAGAAGGCCTGTTATGATTAGGTGCTGGATCTATTTTCTGGTTTGAAGATGACTTGTCCTGTGGAGGCCTACGTTTTCACTTGCGAAGGTGTCCGCTATGCTGGCGGTGGGCTGCAAGCCTCGCAGCAAGAGGCAAGTCGTTGGGAGGGTCGTGTGCGGCAGGTGGAGTGGCCCGGATGAAAAAGTGAGTTAGTAGTGAACTCTGTATCGGAGCACGTCATTTAGAGTCCGCCGTTGTGGAATTGTCAGCGCTGAGGAAAGCAGTTCGGCGCGAGACACGGCAGACTTGGATCACGTTGACCGAGCAGGCGCTTTTCTGGGGACTCTGTCTGTGTCATCTTGAGCTCCCTTGCCACCTATGCAGTCTGGCCAACTCGCTGCCATTGAAGACCGCATTTACGCTTTAGAGTCTGATGCCCAGCTTCCAGGCAGGTACAGCAAATATCAGAGTAGGTCGGCTTGCTTTTCTTCTGAGGTCGAATGTCAACCAAGGCCATGCTCGACTCCAAGAAACCCTCGCATCTTGAAGCAGAACGTTCTGCAGAGCTTTTCCCTTCGTAAAGCTCCATTCCATGATTAGTGATTTCTTGTCTTGGAACAAGGAGCGGCTGCTGGATCAGGTGAAGAATGATCATCGGCCCAGTGGAGAAAGTCCTCGGCCCAGTGGAGAAAGAGAGGAGGTATCCCAGAAAGTCCCTGCACTATTGCAGAGTGCCAGGCTCTCAGTCCTGTTTCAGACACCATTCTTAAAATCGCGCTGCTGACAGCTATATAAGTTCCTGGCAAGATTCAAATACAATGCAAAGGTATTCCAGTCACCACGTGATGGAAAAGGAGAAGGAGAGACAGCTGGATGATCTTTCTGTATTCGTAGCCATATGCAAGGGAATGGAGTTGCTTGCGACCTGCTTGCTAGCTGGAGTTTCCTGGAAGGCCTTTCCAGTTTTTCAATTTAGAATGGCAGGCAAAGCTCCTGCGATGTAAAAAGATGGGTTGACCCTCTGGGTGTGCGAAACTGCACCAAGTTTGTTTGGGGTTCGCTGTGCATGGTGTGCTTGTCAGTCTGGCCTTAGAGCGGCACCACGTTACGTGGTGTCACCCGGCCTCTGTGACTGGCCGCGCTCGAAGCATAGCTGCAGGACGGCTTTGGCTTCATGGCCATCCGTTGCAACGCAGTGCGCGATGCAAAAAGTGTGCTTTGGCTGCTTGATTCTCGCGAGGGAGAGGGACAGAGAGAGTGTGAGAGACAGCCTAGGTTCAGGTACTTCCGTCCACTCTTGCGTACCGACTCGGGCTTGCCGGACTGCAGGGGGGTTGCCCCAGGACTTGTGCAAGCAGAGCAAGAGACAGCCCATGAAAAAGAAGAAGAGGAAGAGGAAGAGAGAGGAGGAAAAGGAGAGAGACAGAGAGAGAGAGAGGGGGGTTGCAACGATGTGCGGAGACAACCTCGGCAATCCTGGGAGAGCGAATGACGGCAACCAAGCCTGATAGCCCACCCCGGAAAACAGCAGAGCACGAATCCATTCACCTCGCCCGGACCTTGCACATGGCACACCGAGTCACGCAGCAAGCCCACCAACCAGCACAACCCACAAGCACAGGCAACACACAACTCCGCGACCTCAATCCGCCGAAATGGAAGACGAGCGCAGATTCACTCATTCCCGTCAATACCGAAACAGACATACATGCATACATGTGTGAGCGAGCACAAGCCCAGAAGCAAAAGCACATGAAACCAGTGAAAGTGCAGCAGAGGGAGCAAGCCGGGCAAGAGAGTCACATGCCAAACATGAGAGGGGTATCAGTTCGAAGGAGCAGTGGTGTGAGCAAAGCGCATGTTGACAATGAGTTGTGGTGTGTCCATACAGCATGCACCTGAGCCTTCTCCTGCCAACGACTACAGCATTTCGAGCTTGAGCTTTCGGTGTTGAGATTGACATGCGATGCCAGTGGTGAGCACAGCACCCCCAGCAATCACACACCCACTTGCAGAGTATCCCACTCACCCTGTGCATGCTCAACGGCTGACAGTCTAGGAGGGCATCCGAGCAGGACTACAGCGCAGCGCAAGCATACATCCCCGAAGCGACCAACTAGCCATTGCAGAGGCCAGAGCCAGCGTCAACCAATGGCTGTGCAGGCAATGGCAATGAAGTGCGCCGTGTTGGTCGTGATGTTGCTAAGCGGGCAGGGCCAGAGCCTGGATGCAGATCAGCCGCCGCCTGACCTCTACCACACCAAGGAAGAGCCGGACTACACGCACCTCATGGAGACAGCGCCGTGGAGAGTGGCACGAAAGTGGGCGACCCCGGCGGCTGGCTCTAGCGATGTGCCAACAAGGGTCATGCACAGCACCAGATCGTTCCCTACGACCAGTCGACGAGAAGAATATGGTGCAGGAGCAAGAGGTGAAGACGCATCGGCTGTCGAGCAGGCAAGTGGTGATGCGGAGCAGGCGGAAGCTCCATTGCTTATTGCGGAGGACATCGAGAATCTGGAGAGACTGCCGCCCACCCCGACTCACCAAGAGTGCCGACTCCTATGGGCAGGGCTTCTCGAGATACAGGATGAGGAGGCCATGCAGGCGGACACGGCAAGCGCGATGGCCCACCCTGACAATGCAATGCCCTCGAGGATCAGCCTAGCAGCTAGACACCTGTGCCGGATCAGAAGATTGTTGCCTGGCAGATCCGTGAACGGACTCGTGCGGCTGGGCCTTGCATTGCCGAGCCTCCTCAATGGCATTCAGGAGGCAGTCGCGGAGGAAATTGAACATGTCTTACAAAGTAGGCAGGCTCGTCGAGGCGCCAAACGACAACGAGAAGAAGGTGAAGCAGCGGAGGGCGAAGAAGAGGAAGTGGAGATCGAGGCCGATGAAGAGGTTGAACCGCAGCACGAGGAAGTGGCTATGATGCAGTCGAACCGCAAAATGGCCGCAGGGAGACCCGCTGCGAAGGAGGAAGCATGGCGGCCGCTCACGCAGCTGGAGAAGAGAAGAATAGCAGAGATTGTCAAGGCACTGCTTGAGTTCCAAACAAATGCTGAGCCATCCCTGACAGTGCTAGCCTACGTTGAAGCTCCTCCCACACTTTGTGGGTGCGAGCCGGAATCCGAGGAAGATCGAGATCTGGATATCTCACTGGGAGAGTTGAGACCGGCACTCCTCAGATGGCTCTGGGGCAACACCCAGGCAGCATGTCCCGGCAGCAGTTGAAGCCCCTGGACGAACTCACCCGGAGCCTGCGACAATGCAGGCCATTGCAAGGCAACTCCAATCAGAGGTGAGGCCAGGGCATAACCCAATCCTTGATCAGGTCTTACGCAGCTGGTCGGATTCGGCAGACATCGGAATAGTAGAGGAAGCACTGAAGATAGCCTCGGAATGACGCTGAGGAGCGCGTGGAGCGCCGTGCCGCAAACTACAGGAAATGGGACGGACTGGGCCCAGCAACATGAGGATCCAGACACACTCGGAGTCCGTACCCAATTACTTGGTCTTCAAGATGCTTGGCCGAACCTCGACCGGGCCAATCGGAAGGCCATCCTTGACGCCATCCTCAACGCACTACCTGAACGACGTGTGCAACAACAGGCGTCCAGCGTTGCCCAGCTATACAATCACATAGGAGATGCAGAGACGCCGCAGAGCATCATCACATTCAGAGTGCAGCTGAGGAGGCCCTTGGCCGCGGAGGGCTGCCAAACCCAGAGGCAAAATTAGGAGGCGCCACTGAGCTCCTCGTCAGGGGAAACTGACAAAGAGCCGAGAGGAACCAAGCAAGATGGCCCTGCAGGACAGAAGCACACCAAAAAGAGGAGAGTCAAGGACACGAGAAAATCGCGTCTAACAGGAAAGGCCATCAGGGAGTTGAGCACTATCCCGCATCAGCACGTGCGCAAAGAGACAGCGGCCAACACCAGGGAGCAGGCAGTACAGACGCTCTCTCGCCGGCGACAAGGAATCATAGCTGCCAAGCCGAAGACGATGATACAGCTGCACCATGAGCCGCACGGAGATGAGCAAAATGGACATAGCAGTCGAGACAGCTCGCCGACACCGCCCACCACGAGAACGCAGAGTCAAACAAGCAAAAGAAGGAGGATCAAGAACTGCAACTTGGAAGCTGATCCAGAACGGACGATCGAGGCATATCGACTTTGGATCTCCCAGGAAGTACGGGAAAGGCTTGATCGCCAACAGTTAGGGCGAGCGAGGCTGCACATGGCCGTCGACCATGAGGCCAGTGCACAGCCATACAGGCCGGTGGAAAGGGAAGCAAGACATGGCTGTGCTAATCAAGCTGGACTACAACCGGGCACGCAGACATGGTCGGAGTATGATCTCACCACTCAGGATGAGGAGCAGACGGACAAGTTGGCAAGCAGGGTACGACAAAATTAAGGCGGAGGAAAAGGCGGAGTGCGCCTCCAGGAAGAGATAGACATTGAAGAAGCCATGGCGGAGTACGACAGGGCTAACCACAACGGTGCTGAGATTGAGACCTGCCTCGACGAGGGCGCCAGCGAGTCGGCAGACCATCGACGGGCCATGGACGAAGAGCACGACAACTGAAGCCGAACAGCAAGCCCAACTGAGCGGGCCGCCAGACAATTTCTGATTTGCGGCAGGGGCCGGAGTCTGGAGTGAAGTACACACTCAGACAGGCCCAGAAGAGATGTTGGGAGAATAAACGAAAGGGCTCCTGGTTGTTCTAGGTACTTGTCCCCCAACTGTGTTTCAGAGGCTTGTTGTTCTCTCCTGCTTAGTGGGGGACACTGTGAACCTCAGACTCCCAACGTCAAAGATCAGGCAAGCAGGTTCGCCTGAGCTCTTATAGGTGCCAAGCCTTGACAGTGTGAGATGAGAGTCCTGTAGCTGTGGCTGCATGTGGTGTTAAGTGGGTACATTGCTGTCTTCTTTATGTCATGGCAAACATACAACCTCTCCCTGCATCCAGAAATCGCTTTTGGGCCATGAGCGCACTGGAAGGTCCAACCTTTTCGTATAGAAGCCTGCGGTAAGTAGAGGCAATGTCAGGATGAGGACTACGGCGCGGATGGGGCTGCTGGGTTTTGTTACTTTGTTTCCCCTTAATGTTTCCTGACGTAGCGCCTAGTGCAAACCCTGCCGCAAGCTTGCTTTGACATGTCTCACGGCCGCGCTGATGGCACACTACTGCACTCGGTGTTAGATTACTGGTGTTTTCGAAGCTCGATTGGGTAAGCCTTGCCAGTTATGTTTTGATGCTGCTTTAAGTCGTGTCGTGTCATGAGTAGCGTGCTCCAGCAAAATACTGTGAGTTGAAGCACAGGGGGGAAGCCACAAAACCTAGAAGAAGCCAATGGGCAAAAAAGCAAGTAAAGAGCTTCGAAAAAGGAAATAACTATCGTCCCCTCCGGGGCTGGGGAGTAAGGTGTTGTTTCGCAATGTCGTCAGATGTGGCCAACCCTGGGGAGTAAGGTATTGTTTCGCAATGTCGTCAGATGTGGCCAACCCCGATGAGTGTGCAGTAGCCAATCATCGAATCCACATTTGTTGGATCTGCAGCTGGGAGTATTTTGGTGTGTGGGGTCTGGGGTTTAGTGCCGTCATGTGGTTAGCATCGATGGTGCTTTGTAGATGAGTCCAGGCAATAGGATCAACATGCAAACCACACACACCGATCGGAGGTGGATTGAGTTCCAGTTCCAGCTGCCGCAAACTAGAGTGCGCAGCTCGAACACGTACCAGCAGTGCACGCGCTCGGGGGACTCTGGATTATTGTGGAATAGGGGACGCGGGTTATCCTGACTTGATACCGGATGCGGCTGAACCTGTATGTCACCGTCACCCTGCCACGCAATGCACAGCTCC